TAAAGGGTGATTAATAGAAGATGAAATGAGAATTTGTGCATAGTACGACAGAGTTCGAACCAGTGACCTCACGGATTTCTACTACTACTCATAAGTGGTCAAAATCATTCTTCATTGGTGAGGTAATTATATGCATTTAGAAAGAAAAGTATTTTAAATGTGAATTACATTTGAAGCCTGTCTAAGCAATAGGAACACACACACATACATACACAAAGGCTCTCAAAGGTTCAAACTGATGTGATTGATCAAAACTGACTATTAACGATAAACAGTTAGTGTGATGGCTATTTTCAAAGTAAGTAAGTAAGTAACTAACTAACTGCGGACACTTGGAAGCTAATAGAAGAGAGAAGGATAGTGAAACAAAAGATTACCCAGTGCACCGACGAGCAACAAAAACAGGAGTTGAATGCAAGCTACAATACAGTGAACAAAAGAGTGAAGAAGAGTGCCAGGGAAGACAAAAAAATATTATGAAACCATGGAAAGTGAAGCAGAACAGGCAACGGTGCAGGCAAAGGAGACCTCGCCATACTCTATCAAACAACTAGGCACCTATCGGGCAAAAGTCCGACACAGATTAAGCCAGTCAAGGATGACAATGGAAAATCAATCACCAAAGAGGTGGAGCAAAGAAAACACTGGATTGAACATTTCAAAAGACTTCTAAATCGATCGCCACGTAAAATACGCACAACAATACCAACAACGGAGGCAGAATTACCAGTGAACATCCACCTGCCAACGAGAACAGAAGTCCTGAATGCAATCAAGATGCTAAAAGTTGGAAAAGCAGCAGGACCCGATGGAATCCCAGCAGAAACATTGAAAATGCACACAGAGACAACAGCGGAGTTGATGACACCATTGTTCGAGAATGTGTGGAATGAGGGTAAATTACCTGAGGATTGGAAGAAAGGATACTTATTCAAGTTATCAAAGAAAGGAGACTTAAGTCAATGCGAGAACTGGCGCGGAATTATTCTCCTGTCCATCATAAGCAAAATACTAAGCCACATCATCCTGGAGAGAATCAAACAAGCCTTGGATGAAAAACTTCGACCGGAGCAATCTGGATTCAGGAGAAACAAGTCACACGGATCACCACTAAACAAAGCTTGAAGTGGCAGTCAGCTGTCTATCTCAACTTTATCGACTTTGTAAAAGCCTCCGACAGTATCAATCAAGAGGTGATTTGGCAACTACTTCTCTACTACGGCGTGCCACCGACATTTATACATCTCATCCAACAGTTGTACGACAATACTGCATGACAAGTAATCCACAACGGGAAACTTACGGAAGACTTCGAAGTGAGGACGGGAGTGAGGCAAGGCTGTCTACTATCACCAATGATCTTCCTGATTGCAGTCGATTGAATAATGCAACAGACAACGGGCAATGAGGAAACAGGCGTAAAATGGACTCACACAAAAGACTTGGAGGATCTGGGCTTCGCCGATGATGACCTATGTCTGATTTCCCACAAACTGGAAGATATGCAAGTGAAAAGCAACAAGTTGGCAGAAGAAGCATCCAGAAAAGATAGGACTTCAAGTGAAAATAGAGAAAACAGAGGTGATGAAGATTCCTGGCCAACACCAACAGCAGCAACAACAACAGATAACAATCAGCCAGCATAAATGGCAGGAACCTGAAAGAAACAACCTCCTTCACCTACCTACCTACCTACCTACCTACCTGGGAAGCATCGTTACAACTACAGGCCGACGGAACTGACGAGAATATCAAAGCCAGAATCGGAAAAGCAAGACATGCTCTCATTACTCTCAAGTCTGTGTGGAGGTCAGGTCAACAGCACTCACCATCAAAAATAACATCCGGATATTCGACTCCAATGTGTAGTCAGTGCTACTCACTGTACGGATAAAAGACTTGGCCAGCGCGTCATAAAGAGCATCTCAAACAAACTTTAGGCCTTCATCAACAGTTGTCTTCGCTCAATACTCAAGATCAGATGGCCGGTCAGAAAAGATCAGAAACAGGGATCTCTGGCAATGAGCGAACCAACCCAGCAGGAACCGATTGTGAAACGAATAGGCAGGAAGAAATGGAGATGGATTGGCTGGCATACTCTGAGGAAACCATCAAGTGAGTGACATCACTAGACAAGGCATTGCTCGAGTAGAACCCGAAAGGGAAGCGGCGAGTTGGTCGTCAGTGCAAGGGTGACTTAGAAGAGGTCATTTGAGGAGGAGGAGATGAAAGTGTGTGGGCAGACTTGGAGCGGGACGAAAACTCTAGCAGAGAACCGGACGCAATGTAGACGTTTGGCTGAAGCCTTACGTTCCTCTAGGAATTAAAGGATACAATGATAATAATAATAACTAAACAAATAACTTAGTATCTAACTAACTGACTGGCTAACTAACTAATTGACTAACTAACTAACTAACTATTCTTTTCCGGCGATTTCACTCTCAATGTTTTACAGTGTAATGAAAAATGAACATAGATCATAGGTGACACATTCTTTTGAAGAATACCAACTACCAATATAGAATGATCAATTAACAAAGGTGTATAGTTAGATACCTGTGCGTCGTAAGATAACTGTCATCATGCCACTTTCTCATTCTACTGCAAGAATTTGCCGTACTGACTACTTGGAAAAAGAGCCCTCACTTCTTGAAACAAATCTGGTCGAATGTGGATACCCACAACGATATGTAGAGAAAAATATGAAACCAAAGTTAAGAAGAAAAGAATGCATTTCATTGCCAAAGAAAATACTGAATATGAGCCTGGGCCTCTCGTTCTGGCCTTTTAAATATGTGTTAGAGAGTACTACTCAGTATTATTGCAATCAGGTGGTGTTCATTCAATCAGAAGAACTATAATTGAACATCGAATCAGCATCTATGACATCTGAAGAGACCAATCATTGAAAAAAACAGTTACAAGGTAAAAAGAAGTCTACCAAAAACGGTTTTTCCGACTCCATTGTACTGCAAAGCCGTTCGCATGTACATCGATAAGCGGAAGCCATATGTGCAAGCGAATCTCCTCCAACCACCACATTTACCAGTTCTGTTTGTCTCGTTAGTTGTCGTTTTTCTGTCATTCGCTTCATTTTTATCACCGTCAGTTATGAAAACTGCTGTTCCAGTTTGTCTTCTGCGTACATTCCGCTCACACCCGTCTTCCTTAGGATCTATTTTGAAAATTAAGCAACCATTTCTCTAGTCATTCGTAATTTCGTTACTATGCCTTTTGGAATCTATATTCATGTTTCATTATTATGTTGGATTACAGTAATTTGTTGTGCGTCGGTGGCATAGTGATTAGGACGCTCACCAACCATGCACATGGTCAGGGGTTCAATCTCCGGCCACAGACGCACTCCTTTACTTCGCTAAGTCAGAAATAATGCTGGTAAAGAGGAAAGGTTGGGCATGAGGCTAGCAACCCAAATAAACACTTCTACAGAAACTTCAAGCCACTAGCTTGAAGCCCTATGTTCCACTTGGGAACGTGAAGGAAAAAACCAGTAATTTGTTGGATGGTGACCAGTGATGAAATCTAGGATGCGTACTTCATCCTATTCGGGATTCATCCACTGGATGTAATTTATTCCTGCTAGTCACCATTCACTTAATTTCTTCAAGTAAGTTCTCAGACGTCGTTGAAGCATCTGCACTAAGAGCCAACAAGTCAACAACAGCCGAACATTTTGGTCCAATAAATCCACAAGAATATCGAGACTAAATGAAAGGTGATATGTGAACTTATGTGTAGAAAAAGGAACCGCCGAAGGGATGTCTCTGTTTTATTTCCTTTGCATGAATTTCATAATAGACTTAACTTACATTTAATATATGTGTAAAACTTGGGCACTGTGGTAGTAAGTAATTCCAAAATTAGTTTGTTTATTAGGTGGGAAGTTAAGCACTAGTGTTTACAGAAAACCCACACATTCAAACAGATACTTGGACTTCAGATCATTCCATCCTATGTCAGTAAAAATAGGATTGTTAACATGTTCAAGTGACAGAGCACAAAAACTAAGTAGTACTAAGGAAAATTTAAAAAAGAAATAACAAAAAAGAAGCTAATATAATTATCCTGACAAATTAGTCAAAAAATATGTAAGGAAATCTAAAAATAAAATAAATAATGATAGTAGAGATAGTGATAATAATAATAATAACAATAATAATAATAATATCACTAATAATGATAATAATAATAATAATAATAATATTGATGACGACACCAACAATAAGGAATCTAAATCATCAACAGTAATTCCATGCAAGGAAGGAACCTCGGAAACCACCTTACACAGAATTCTTAACAAGGCAGGAATAAAAGTGGCATTCAAACCAACTGCAAACTCAATTAGAAACAAGCTTTGTCGGTTATAGGATCAATTCGGTTGAACCGTTAAAACAAAACAATTTAGTTTATCTAATACCCTGCCTGCAATGATTGTTAGGTCAGATATATAGGTCAAACTAGTAGAACAGGGACAGTCAGACTAACCGAATATAAAAACCTAGCTAAATCTAGATTGGTTGACCCAAATAAGATAAGAAATCTAGAGAATAGTTCAGCCGTAGATAGCACTACATGCAATTGCACACAACCATACAATAGGCTGGATGGGATAGGATGACAGTTTTAAAATCTAATGTCACAGGGTATATAGGAAGGGGTTGATAACAGAAGCTTTGTGTATCGAATCAACTACAAATACATGTAATAGAAATGATTCGACACCTGTCTCAGATATATGGAAAATTCTACTACCCCAATGACGACAAATAGGAGAAAACAAAGAAAACTATAAAACTCAAGTTTCAAAGTCGAGTGATTAAAACTGATATGATTATGAACAATAATAGATTGTGTTCGAAACGTCATCCAGTAAATAATTAATAATGTTTCACTCACTGTGTAATACATCTTATAAACAAACTAATATGGAATAAACTTACATTTTTTCTTTCCGAAAATTATTACCTGATACTTACCTGAAACATTGTATCCAGTGGTTGTGGACATGTAGGTGGTAATTTGTCAGCCATGAAAACTTTCTTCGGTTCAGGAATCGGTTCAACAGGCTTTTTGAAACGTAATGGTCCCGTAGGCGATTGAGCATAACGTATTCCTATATTATTTAAAGAAAATAATTATAAGTGGTGGTTTAGGATGTGGAGTGTGGTTGAACAACAAGACAAGGAGCCAACAACACCTTAATTTCCTTGGAGGGATTCACAGAGATTTAATCAATATAACTTTACTGGCTTACGAAAAGCCAACTTATAGGAGCAATTATAATGACAACAATAATTCAGGAAAGCTCGTATCTCTGATTACGCTGTCCAGTCTAAATTTCAAGCATAGTTCTCTGACAAGCAGTTAAAAACCTAATAACTGTGTTTTACCACAGTACCAGACTTAGCTGAAAGGTGAGTTCTGTTAGATGTTTGTTAAAAAAAAATAGTAAAATGGCAGAAATTAGAACACATGAGTTATTATACTCCATACCAGGGACTGAAAGGTTATTGAATTTACCCTGTAACCTTAAGGCTCCTATATTCAATTCCTGACAGAGTTATAGATGCCTACGGACGGATAAGTATTGTCAAACTAGGGCACAACAGCAGTCCAATAGTCCATGATATCAATAGTTCCTCGGTTGGAGTCAGTTTGTGATCTAACTAGGATACATTTTAATGAGTTATTTCATGATGGCTCGAGAGTTAAACAACTAAAGGATTATATTTTAGTTAGGTGTGTACAACATGATGAATAAGGTTCAAGTTGGATGAGAGATGTGTGTGTGTGGCATAAGAACCGGCTATGATGCTGTGTATCGTCCGAGGGTAAAACAGTCACTAACGACTTCACAGTGGATATAATAGTGGACACCTTCAGAGTGCAAAATAGGAAGGATATCACGAAAGCTTTAGACTTTCCCTAGACATCACGGTTGACCTTAAGTCATGCTGCTCTTCTAAAGGAAGGAGGTAATATGTGGATCTACATCTAGTCTGAAAAAGCGGACTAATCATACTTGTTTCATACATTAAGTAGTATTTTTTCTTTTTATAAATATACGCTCTTCCAACTCACGTTGTTCTATGCACCTGATCAAATGATAGACAGGGAAATCAAGTCGCCCTTGTATAACGTAGGTGGCTGAAAAACGGTACATGTGGTCACTGCGTCTGTTAATAGCTCCGGTGTCCCTATCAGTTCAAGCAAACGTTTGCAAAATATAAAATAGGAGGTAGATTCGTTGAGATATCTTCTGCAAGAATCTAGTAAGTTGAAGCAATGTATTAAGTTGCATTTGCTTGCCACGCTTCCCCTTTGTGGTCCTCCCATCCCAACTCAGCAGACTTGAACAAGCCTTTTCTCTGACAGGATATTCACACTCGCCTCTCATGCTTCGCCTTCTTGCTTAATCAACACGAGTACTCAAATGTCAAGAAACCTGGACTTGCGAAATTTCGCATCCTCACTGTGACACAAACATCAGCTGTAGAACGTACAAGTATTTAGTCGCAGAATACTTATGTAGAAAGTAATGCATATAGAGATCCCAGAATACAGACACGTTATAGTGAAGTTTCCATTTACTAAAATCTTTAGTTTTCTGCTTTATTTGATCTCCTTTCATTTTTACGATATTGTTACACAAAGATTTCTCATTCCTACTCATCGCCACATAATCTGTCCTTCTATTATTCAAGATTCTTGAAGAAGACATAATATACACAATACCTACTTTAAAATACTCATCAGTAGAACAGACCATAAGTTATGCAAGAAAATGTAATAAACCAATAGAGTCAGTGGAACAGTGGTAGAATGCTCGCCAATCATGCGCAGTTCGGTTTGGGGTTCGATCCCCAACCGACACACTGCTTTACCTTGATAAGCCAGTAGTAAGATTGGTGAAGAGGGAAGGCTGAGCATCAGACTGGCTAGCGATCCCATTCTGCAAAACTAAACATCAATGCTACCGAAACTTCAAATTTCTAGCTTGTTCCACTGGGAACGTACTTGCTCTTGCGGAGCTGAGTACATCGGCCGTACCATGAGGCAACTTGAAAGAAGTGCTTGTGAGTACCATCCAGCCACGCTAGTAAAAGGAGGACTAAAACGTGTATATACTCCAGTGACAGAACATCTAGTCAATTCAGGACATTCAGCGTCATTCGACAAATCCTTCAAAATCATATACAAGATTCGATCAAACCTATCAAAGGGAGTAAAATTAAGACATTTGGGCATAGCCGAGATACTAGCTATCCAAAAGCTCAAACCCATGCTCTGTATTTAAAAGAAATTTGTCCAAGCCTTGTCCCTACCATGACCATCATAAACAGGTAATTCTTTCAGTAGTAGCTATCCAATTGACTTTCTTATCCAAACTTCCTGTTTATTCATGTTATTTTTAAGTTTTTCTTAATGTCTATTTGCACTACGATATTTTCATATCCGAACTTCCTGTCTGTTTTGTTATTTTATTATTTCTACACATTTAATCCCCAATTGCATAAACAATTATTCGTCACATTAGTTATGATCCCATTAGATCTTTTTATCCAAACATCCTGTCTATTTTTGTTATCTCTACATTTCTAACCCTAACCTAATTGCACAATCATTGTCAATCTTTTTGGTAACTATCATGCTACTTTGTTTGAGCTTTACCCGTCCTGTCAACCTGTTTATTATGGCATTGTATTTCCTGATTGTAATTTTATCAATTTGACCCTTGACCTGGAGTTGTTCTGGGGCCTTCCCACCCATTTGTAATATAAATACACAAATGTACAGCTATCATCTAGTTGACGGTGCCTTCGTTGAAAAGAAAGTTCTCTTCGCTGCAACCGTCTTTTGAATATAAAAAAAATAAATTCTGGGATACTTTGATCTCTACCATCATTCTGCATCATTTCAGATATCTCTCAGCGTAATATACATAAAGTAAAGTCAAACGATTCCAAAGATTTCTGGCTTTATTTTCTATGCACAGCCGAAACCCTTCCATGACGTACGGGAAACCCTGAGCCCTGTATACAGAAGTAATTTATTCAATTCTTTTTTTTATTATTGTGACTTTTAGCTTTATTTTTGACCTATTTTACCATAGTCTTGTGTACAATTCACCTTCGATTATTACGTCAGATTCTTGGTTTTTTCAAAACGCATCTTGTACATCGATATGATAGGTAAGAGTTGTAACTCAGGTGGAGGATTTTGATGTGATTGTGTTCTCACTTCAACGAATTGAAGTCTGCGCTGAAGATGTTGTCCAGTAGGGCAATGAAAGCTTCGCAAATTACCTATCCAGGTAAGAGAAGACAACCACATCAAAAAGCTTCTTGTACATGTTCTGAATTTCCTCTCTTGTGAATAATGCTCATGATTCCAAGCGAACATTCAGAAACGTTTTCTTCTTGATGTAGAGCTCAGTATATTTTTCTACTAACTTTTGTTCATACCTTACCTTTTTCAGTATTCACCGTAGTATTTCAAAAAAAAGTTCTATTTAATTGTACAACTTTGAAGAGAAGTTGTTAAATGCGTACTCCATCATATTGGCTTATAATGCTTCGATACACAATTACTGTGTGAAGTAGATTTCAATCGTTGTAAATCACAGATTCGCTAAGAAATACTAATTTATTTTTCTGTGAAATTTGTTTCAAATATCTGTATAAATTGCGTGAATCAATTCAGCGATACAATCACATGCCATCTACCTATCTTTACACATATGTCATAGAAGTTTCAATTTTTGAAACAAAACCACAAATAAAACCAACATTCATACTTATTTTTTTATTTTTTTTTGACTACAGCTTGATTCCACACTGTATTTTTGGTACAAGTATGGAATTTTCAGCATGGATATCGGTAGCCCAAAATTCGCAGGCCGACCATAGATATCAGGTGTGCGTCGGCGTGGGCTCGAACCCCGGACCATGTTCATGGTTATAGGGTGTAATCATGAGCTGATATCGTTTAGAGAACCCTTTAGAAAACCACCAAAGAGTACTGGACAACTAGCTGTTTTGTCAGCCTAGTTTGGGACTCTCCAGCAGCACGCACCCACCCATCAACGAGGTACAGATCAAGGACCTTCTGGTTATAAGGCCAGCGAGCTTGTAAACCATTCAGCAGCCACTGAGAACCCAAAATCGAATCTCAACTTAAATAATGAGTTGAATAGCAAATAGTGGTAGTGTTCTCTGAGGAGCCAATTGGTTTAATTACAGAGCTTTTGTCGTCATTCCCCCCTGTAGACAACATCTTCAGCGTAATTTTCAGCATAAAGTGAACTGATTTAAACTCCCCATTAATGATCATAGAATTGTGTCTCCTGGGAACCATCTTTACATATTTATTGACCTTTTTTGTTGACTCGGATTTAAAGCTTTCTGGTTACATGATTTATTTTTCATTAGTTGGTAGATTTATTCTATATTAACAAGTTTGTTGATCGCATATTCGTTTAAGTACAAGGCTTCTAGGAATTCCCTGACTGCACTTTCGGTGTTTCCTCTGTCTATAATTTCGACATTACTTCAATCGAACTGATGTCCATAATTATCTATATGCATTTATGTGGAAGAATCTTATATCATATCATTTCACAGCTGATTTATGTTCCTGGATTCTGATTTGAAAGAGACGCTCACTTTGGCCGATGTGATGTTTGTTACAGTTTATGTAATACCAGATATCACAACTACTATTGAAAAAGATTTGGAAGGAAAGATGCCTACTGACTGAAAGAAAGGCTGCCTTGTCAAACACCTAAAGAGGGGCGACTTACACCTCACTCTGCAAGAACTGGTGTGGAGTAATGCTCTTTTCAGTGCCAAGTAGAATATTAAGTTATGTCATCCTAAAGAGAATAAAGGGTTCACTGCATGCAGAAATCCACCCAGCCCCGGAACATGCTGGATTGAGGAAAGACAAATCATGCGTTAATCAAATTGCAACTCTACGCATCGTCATCGAACAACACAGTGAACGGCAGTCAACTCTTAATCTACCTAAAGTTTATTGACTTCGAAAAGAAGCTGCTGGGGAACCCGCGTCAACACTACGGAGTGCAGTACCCTAAATCTTTATTAATCTCATTCAACAGCTGCCATATGACAGTGATACCGGTAGAATGATCTACAAGGGAGAACTCAACGAAGCCCTTTGAAGTGAATACTGGGGTAAGGCAAGGCTACCTGCCTATTATCACAGATAGTATTCTTAATTGTGGTCAGACTGTGCACAGGGAGTGAGAAGATACCAATATGTTGGACCACCAAAAGAAGACTCTAGAAGATGTGGATTTTGCGCGTGGATGATTTATGTCTAATGTCACACAGACTCGAAGACTTGCAGGCGAAAACCAACAAATTGGTAGAAGAAGCAGACAGCGAAGACAGGTCTTCAGGTGAATAAAGAGAAGATAGACGACCAACCGACCGAAAGCAATAACAACAGCAACCAGTACCAATCACCATCAATGGGAGAGATTGGAGAGAGGTTACTTCACTTATTCGACTATGAAGCATTGTTTCAACTACAGGCACACCGAATGGGTGAATATGTTAGAGCTAGCCAGAATCCGAAATGCAAGGTACACATTCATCAATATTTGCAATAGGCCACTTCAGACTTTGATCAACAGCTGCCTTCTCTGGTTGCATACTGTAGACCAAATGGCCAGGCAAAAAGAATTAGCAAAAACAGGCTATTTGAGAATAAACTAACCGAAAACTTACCGTTCAACAAATATGTGGGATGAAATGGTGATGGATTAAGCATTCATTCACTGAGAAGGCAGTCAGCAGACATCTCACATCAAGCCATCACTCGAGGGAAACCGTAGGAAAGAATAATAATAATAATGCGACATATGTATGATTTCCCACAAACTGGAGGATATGCAAGTGAAAAGCAACACGCTGGCAGGAGAAGCATCAAAGATAGGACTTCAAGTGAAAATAGAGAAAACAGAAGTGATGAAGATTCTTGGCCAACACCAACAGCAACAACAACAAGAACAGACAACAATCAGCCAGCATAAATGCGAGGAACCTGAAAGAAACAACCTTCTTTACCTACCTACCTACCTACCTGGGAAGCATCGTTACAACTACAGGCCGACGGAACTGACGAGGATATCAAAGCCAGAATCGGAAAAGCAAGACATGCTCTCATTACTTTCACCAAGTCTGTGTGGAGGTCAACAGCACTGCTCAGAATCAAAAATAACATCCGGATATTCGACTCCAATGTGTAGTCAGTGCTACTCACTGTACGGATCAGAGACTTGGCCAGCGCGTCATAAAGAGCATCTCAAACAAACTCCAGACCTTCATTAACAATTGACTTAGCTCAATACTCAAGGTCAGATGGCCGGCCAGAAAAGATCGGCAACGGAGATCTCTGGCAATGAGCGAACCAACCCAGAAGGAACTGATTGTGAAACAAATAGGCAGGAAGAAACGGAGATTGATTGGCTGGCATACTCTGAGGAAACCATCAAGTGAGTGACATCACTAGACAAGCCATCGCTCGAGTGGAACCCGAAAGGGAATTGGCGAGTTGGTTGTCAGTGCAAGGGTGACTTGGAGGAGGTTACGTGAAGAGGAGATAAAAGTGTGTGGGAAGTCTTGGAGAGGAGTGAAAAAGTTGGCAGAAAACAGAAGACGATGGAGATGCGCAGCTGAAGTCCTATGTTCCTCTAGGAATTAAAGGATATAATAATGATAATAATGTTACCCATAGTAAAACAGTTAGTACGCAACCAAAACAATATTATAATTTAAAATTAAATCAAAATTATGTTAAAAAAAGTAATAATAATAAAGAACTACCATGATAAATATCAACCATTGACGCTGGTCCATTTGGCCAATGAACAATTTCACGTATTCCACAGTAGATTCCAACAGGCGTATACGTAACTGGATTATCTGGTGAGCATAAATTTGATTTATCCACAGATGGTAGACTCTGACCAGTTTGACTGATAGTAACTGTCGTTGTGATATTTTCACTAAACGGCACATAAACTTTATTCACTTCTTGAAATACACTTAATCCATAAATTGTCAATAATTTTAATAGAATTGCAGTAATTACTATCGAAAAATTCATCTTTAATGAATGGATCTAGACTGGCAACTTTCTTTTGCGTAATAAATCACTTTCAAAATTTTAGTGATAATAAAAGAAACTTTCAAATAACAAGAGATATAACAACCTCTAAGGAAATCTTTTTCCTTCTCCCATTACTTCCATTCATTTTGTCCTGTATTTTAATGCATTAAAAATATTCTTTAAATTCAACACTTAAGTTAGTCAGTTAAAACAAAGCGTGCAACGATCGATTAGTCAAGGTCATTTAATTCCAATGGCATATTGAACACGTCAGCTGTTAGTTACGCGCGTGTTTTAAATAAATAAATAAATCAGTATGTAGAAGAGAGAGGTAAGGGAAAAAAAGTAAGAGAAGAAATAAAGAAGTAGGCGAAATATGTGTAATAATACTAAACAAATGTGTACATTAATTGGTTGATAAGGGGAAGGAAATTTCAGATTACAACTTCTATCCCTTTTTCTAATAAGTGTTAGGTTTTAAAAAGTATTCACTATTGTAAAAACAGATGAGGTGAATTAAGCGCTAGTGTTTCTTTTTCAAATTTTGTTTGTAAATTTTTAGAAATTGTGTAGGTTTTGCTTTTTAAGATATAATATGAAAAATTACAGTAGATATGTAATGACTGGACACTAGTAACTAGTGTTATGCATCTAGTCCTCCGCTTGGTGCAGACTGAATTCTATCAGTCAGTCAGGTTTGCAATGTGGTCACCATTCTAGGCTGCTCGCCATCACGGTGCTCATTGATTTAATGATATTAGACGGTTGGAGGCAATCGGTGAACCTGATTCATAGAATTCAGTCTGCTTCATAGAAAGGATTAGACACTTTGCACTAGTTATTAGTGCCCAATCAACTTATACACTACAGTCCGTCCTACAGGAGGTCAATTGTGAGTCCGAATGGCTCAGTGGTAAGGTCTCTGAATGCTATCGGCACTGAATGACGCCGGTTCGAATCACGAATCGAAGGGACACGAGCTCCCTCAAGGTCGCAGATACGCCTTTCTGACGAATGCCAATTAGCATGAAGCCTAGGTCTCGCAAGACTTCCTACCGATTGCCTCCAACCATCTAATATCACCAGATATGTAATGAATTTTACATAGATGTATAAATCGATAATGGGATTAGTTCTACTTGTTAATGTTATCATAATATTATTCCTTTGGGTTTCCGAGTGGTAAATAGGGCTTCAGGAGTCTGTACCTAATTGACTCCACGGTTGTTTACTAGTTTTGATTTTCTTCTCAAACGATCTTTTACATATCACGTTCGAATCAATGCCCAACTCATCACTTGTCATTTAATTTCAATTGAGGGCCTGGCTTGTGACTGTCGTTTCAGGGTGGGCTAAGTTCATATTCATTCGCTTTTGCATATGTATATATTGGTCAATAGGGTTTCAGTTGGTTTATTGACGGTATTCGTTGTTGCTATTAGTAGTGCTTATATACTTATTAGACAGTTTGTAGAGACATGGCCACTGGTTATACTTTCCGCGGTTGTTATAGTCATATTCAAATGTTACCGATGACTGTGATCAGAATAACAATGAAGACTTTTATTAGTGAAATAGTTACGTGATTTCATGTAGTGTTTAACAGCTGAAGAGGATTAATTAAATTATTTTACATACATTTTCTTGTTTAATTCTTAGGTGCAAACAATTTTGTGGAAATACATCCATATCACACTTCAGAATTAAGTGGCATGTATCCCTGCTTGGTTTGAAGTAAGGAAGTGAAAAGCTAAAGTGTTTTGAATAATTTATCTGTTTGAGATATTACATCAGCTTCAACTAAAGGCAGGAGCTTCAATGGGTGTTATGCTAAGCGATTCTTCCTATCATAGTTTACATTTGTGCGCTATAAAAGTATTCCACAAGTGTGGAATTTTAGGCATATGATATCGGTAGCCCAAATATTGCACGCCAACCATTGATATCAGATGTGCGTCGGCAGAGGATCGGACCCCGAAACATGTGCATGGTCGGCTAGAATCCTAAAGGCTGTGCTACTGACGCACAGTGGTTCACTGGTAGAGTGCTCATCAGACACGCAAAGGTTTTCGGTTTTGTTCCTAGCCAGCGCACTTGCAGACCGTGATTGGCACACTAGTCGACAGCAAGTTCAGAAAAGAGATATGGTTAGGTGTGAAGCTAGCAGTATTATCCCGTACAAATCAACGATATCATCTCTACTGAAACTGCAAGAAAGTTTGAAGCTGTAGTTTCAACTAAGAACATAAAGGAATAGAAGGAGAGATATAAAAGTGAATAGTCAAGAAGTAGAAGTTACTCAGAATGACTGCAGATTTTTACCAACTTATGTGAATCCGATACACAAACACTACACCTGCTAACAAACTGGCAGAAGAGGTAGACAGTGATGACAGGACTCCAGGTGAACATAGAGAAGATGGAGACAGAAGTGATGACAATAACCAAACAACCAACAGCAACCATAACAACAACCAGCACTAATCATCAACAACGGGAGAGGTTTGATAAAGGTTACCTCCCTCAGCTATCTGGCTAGGAAGTACGGTTTCAACCACAGCCAGTTCAAATGTGCACTGCACCCATTAAGCATAAAGAACGTGATTTGGATTTTCAACACAAATGTGAAGTCAGTCAGTTGATTCTTCCAAATGGGTCTGAAACTAGTTTAAGGCCTCGCGGAAGGCATTTCCAACAGTATCCTACAGACGTTTATCAACAGCTGCCTCCACTGGCTTCATCTTGAAGATCGAATGGTGGTCAACCGGCCAGTCGGAAAGAATTAGTAACAATAAACTCCTCAGTGGAATAAAGCAACTGAAAGAGGTGATTGCTCAACAAATATGTATAGGAAGTAGGAGATAGATATATCGGGCATACACCACTGTGGAGGCAGTCAAATGGTATTGCGCTCCATGTAGGCCATCATTCGAGTGCAGTCCCGATAGGTGGTGACAAATGGGTCGTTGTTGTGAGGGTAACGTGGAAGAGATCTTGTGGCGAGAAGGAAATGAAAGATTATGGGCAATAATTGATCCAGCTGAAGACCACAGCAGAAAATAGAACAAAGGGGATATGTGTTCTTGAGGCCTATATTCCACTCGGGGCTCAAGTGGATAACAATAATATAGTAAGCATGCCGTGGTAGTATCTTCCTTACTGAATAATGAGAATTATAGTAGGGTGTATTAAGATAGAAATGAGTTGCAGATGTGCTGAAATAAAACTCCTAACTGATGTTAATAACAAAATTATTAACATTGGTAAGAATGAGTCCAGTCTTTTGCATTTCTAATAATTCAGACACTTTCATGGAATCTTGATCTTCTATCCTGTTCAGTTAAAAAATAATAACATTAAAAAACTGTATCTTAAAATCAACAATAGACAAACTGCTACTGTACAAAAGATGCGTCAATGACACTTATGTAGTTTGTCAAGGTGATTCTGATCAAAATTGTATCTTAAACGAGTTTATTAACTGCCATCCTTCAATTAAGTTCCCAATGGAAATTGAAAATGAATCAAAGATTCCATTCCTGGTCGTCGAATTGACAAGAAGAGAGGACGGAACTCTGAAAAGATCTATCCCTAGAAAACGAACATGGAATGGCCAACTGGAAAACTTCTACATTTAGATACCTATCACCTGCGAAAGAGCTCTCATCATCTCACTAGCCCACTGTACCATAAGAATTTGTAGCGATGACTGTTTAGAAGGAGAGCTCCTATTTCTCAAAAGCATCCTGATTCAAAATGGATACCCACCGCGGTTCGTGGAGAAGAGCATGAAACCACACCCAAAAAGAGAAGAATACACTTCATTGCAAAGGAAGACACTCTATTTGAATCTGGAATTCAGAGGAGACCTAGCAGCAGATATCCTTAAAAGGAGAATCTCCAGTTGCCTGAAGAAGACCTTTCCAACAGCATCTCTAAGGATGATACTCTCTAGCCGCCCACTACTTCGTAGCAACGGGAAGGACAGATTTCCACATATGACCACTTCAGTGTGCATATATCGATTCACTTGCTCTTGCAGAGCTAGGTACATAGGTCGTTCTATGCGGGTCCTATCAAAACGTGTTAGAGAGCGCCATCCAGCATGGCTGCAAAGAGGAGGCACTGGTTCAATCAAAAGTGCAATAACTAAACATCTCAGCAATACCTGTCTCACAGAATCTCAACTGACTCATCATTTAGAGTCATTTACAAATTAAACAAAAATCTACCAAACGCAACGTGTTACCGATTTCTTTGTACTGCGGAAGCGCTTGCCATATGCATCGAAAAGCCTGAGTTATGAGTTCAAAAGAAACTAGTTAAGCCTTTACAACTACCATGAACCTAGTTTGATATCTTTCCTCATCCTTCGGTTTTTTGTTTTGTTTCGTTCTCTGTGTGTTTAATTTTCTCTCTTTGTCTTCATTCGATTCATATCATTTTTTCCAGTTATAAAATCGGTTATTTTTAAGTTTGTTTTCATACTCCTCCTAATCACACTTGTAATCCGTTTAGAATAACAATTTTACAATTACATTCTAATCCTGTGTGTAATTTTTTGTTTCTATGCCTCTTGTAATCTATATTCACACCTCTTAACTTGTATTTCAAGTTGAAAATTTTGATTTCAATTTGTTTCCATGTTCATTTTGTTCACACCTGCAATTCATTCTATCCCAGCGTAATTTTTGTCTTCAAGCCTCTTGTGATTCATATTAAGCTAAAAATAGTTATCACCTTTTATTCGCCTTTAAAACTATTATTTCTCCAGTTATCAAATAATAATTTTGCATACATTGTAACTGTTTTCTAATCCTATGCAATCTTGTCTGTAAGCCCCTTGTAATCTATATTCCTACCTTCAAACTTTCATATCAAGTTGAAAATTATTTATTCTCCTTTGTCTCTATGTGGAATTAATCAAATAATAATTGTATCCATGTAAAATAATCTATATAAATTCGACTGTACAGCTTTTGGGAATGAAATCGCCG